ATGACAACCATCACTCACACGCTTGACGGCGGTGTCCATGTCGAGAGCGTAAAAGTAGCGCTGTGTCAATGCTCTAAGTTGATGACATGTCGGGTGGTCTAATTTGATGTGTAGAGACATCAATAGTCCGTCTATTACATGTCGCGGGACAACAATGCATTCTGATGGGCTGTTGAGTGGAAGGTTTCGTTTCACGATGATGAGTCCATCTCGTGACAATGTAGTGGCATTAAGGTAACGCTTGACATCACGAACATTAGTGACCTTTTTGGAGGGTCGGGTCCCCTGCCTAAGGTGGGCACATGCACGTCTGAGGTCAGCACAGTCGTACTGAATATTTAACCATGCAGATCTGGTAGTGAACGGTAATCTCGCAGTACCATTGAGGACATCGGTCATTGAAATGGCACGCACTACAGAGTCCATTGTCTGGCCAACAAACGCACATACTTGACACACTGGCTCGGAACACTCAGGTGCATTTCGACTGGCGAAGTCTGATTGGAGGATCGCACAGCCCGCTACATGTCGAACTGATACTTGAAATCGACTCGCTGTTGACAGAAACGTAGTGACCCGAGGGCTCGCAGAAAATTCACCTCGCATGAGTTTTTCATACGCTTGAACACAAGGTTTACTATCGGTAAGTACACAGGTTGTTGTGGACGACTGAACGATGTATGGGCTAAAGTGTTTGATTGCAGCGGATATTAACATTCCCTTAATCTCACATGGGAGCCACCTGATTTGATTTTTCCTGAGCTTGGCGCTAAAGTACCCGGCTAGCAGTGATTTGTTGTTTCTGGTGACATACAAGGTAGCTCCAATGCCCGGTTCTTTTACGGCGCCGTCGGTAACTATCCATATCTGATCACTGGATCGCGGTAATGTGATGGTGCGGTTTGATGAGAGTGCGTTCTGTGCCTTTGTAAAGGCTGAGGCCAGTTCATCGGACCAGTGAACGGTTTCTTTCGACTCGCGGCCAGCAACAGCGTTGTCAAGTGGTGACAGTAGTTCAGAACAGTGTTGAATAACCCTACTAAGAACTTTGAACGCTCCAATGAATGAACGAAGTCCGAAAACGTTTGTCGGTTGAGGACACGACGCGAGTGTCGCGATCCGATGTTGACTTGCTTGAAGGGTTCCCAAGCGCCACACCCAACCCAGGATAGATGTCTGTTGGGGGGCAATGACAGTTTTAGGTCCCGACAAACGCAGATCACACTGGTGAAGAGCCTGAAGTACGGCTCTCCAGTTGTCCAATAGTTCCTCAG